CCTTCTTCAACTAAGCTAGGCAATTGTTACCTAAGAAGACTTTCTCTTTACGCGAGACAAAGTAGACTCTAAAGTTTGCCCCTGCAACTATAGAGCTACTCAAGATCCTACCCATATCCTCCTTAGCTGTACGCTATATAAGGAGGCTAGGATAAAGATGCAGGAGGCGAGCAAGGACCCCCTATCGCTAGCCTTCCTGCTAAACACGAGCGTAGGCATACAGGCTACTATTGCCTTTATTGAAGAAACTAGGGCTGCAACACAGGCCTGGCACAAAGGAAACCTCGAGAACTAGGGCAACACCTATACTAGGTGGCCTCGCCCTACACCCACCCTACCTCTCTCTTTTACCCGCAAGACCCCCTTCTACCTCCCTCTAGACTAGGCTACGAGCCTCACCTCGATTTAGATAGCCCCCTCCCCCACCTACACCAAAGTGATAGCACTACGTAGATACTTGCGGGCCTAGCCTGCACGTCTTATATAGCCCACCGGCTGAGACAGGACGTAAAACCAAAATAATAATAATAATAATAATAGCTAAGATGTTTACAATACTACGTATACGTACGAAGGTGCAGGAAATACTAGGCAACTATTTAGCATATCACCAGAACAAGCCTAAGAGATATAAGCTCTACAGCCTATTACAACCCCTATAGCCACCGTCTAGACTATAGATAAGTATAATAATAGACTTTATAGTGAAGCTCCTAAAATTATTAGAACTAAGATTAGCCCAATTTTGCGACATAATCTTAGTAATCGTAGACTAATTAACTAAGATAGTAAAATTTATACCTATAGAAGAGACTATTACGGTAGACAAATACGCGTACGAAGTTACTAAAGCATTAGTATTAGAGTATAGAATACCTAAAGAGTTTATTACTAATTATAATAAACTATTTACGTCTAAATACTAGAGTACATTCCTAGTAAAGTTAGATATTAAGAAGAAGCTTTTAACAAGCTTTCACCTGGAAATAGACGGCTAGACGGAACGAATGAACTAGACATTAGAATAGTATCTACGGATATACGCTAATAAGTTATAGGATAACTAAGTAAAACTACTACTAACAGCGTAATTAGCCTATAACAGTACAAAATTAGTAACGACGAAGCATTCGCCGCACTACGCGAACTATAGATATAAGCTAACTACTTATTAGAATCTAAAGGACATTAAAAGTATCGTAGTAGGAGCAGATAATAAAGCGAAGCTTATGCGAGAATTGCACGAAGAATTAAGTAAGAATATAGCTTAATAAAACCTCATAACATCTAAAGCAGCAAATAAACTAAGAATTAAGAGACTAACCTTTAAGAAGAGGGACAAAGTTTTCTTATTAAGATAAAACCTAAAAACTAAACGACTATACAGAAAATTAGACAACCTCTAAATAGAACTGTTCGAAATTCTAGAGAAAATAGGAAAAGTAAACTATAAGTTAAAACTTCTATAAGGTATACGAATCTACCCTATCTTTTATAAAAAACTCCTAGAACTAGCACCTCTAGATACTAAGCTAGTAATAGATATAGAGCTCAAAGACGACGAGTACAAGATCGAGGAAATCAAGAACCTACGGAAAATTAGTAGTTAGTAGAAGTACTTAGTTAAGTAGCAAGAATAGCCTAAAAACCACAATACTTAGGAACCTAAAGGAAACCTAACGAACTATAAGTCACTAGTACGTAAATACTACTAGAAGTACCTAGAGAAGCGAGGGGAAGCCCCTCGAAGAGAAAGGAATAATTAAAAGAAGAATTAAAGAAGTCAGCCTATAACTAGCCCAGATCAGCCAATAGTTTAAATAGCGATGGTTCGACAATAGAAAGGCCCGTACCCCTAGGGGCTAAGCTCCCCTCAGTCTACTCTTTCGCACGATCTTAAATAGTAAGAATTATAAGATCGCGACGCACGAAAATCCGTTCACGCTTCTTTACTTCTAGAAGCTCCAGCTTCTATTAAGACAGCTATACCTTAAGACGAGCCACAGCCAGTTCTCGTTCTTCACGTTCCTCTCGAACTTTCTCCCACTCTTCTTTAGAAACAAAAAGACTATACTTAGTACTAACAAAAATGCAACTAGCGCAACGACCCGTCGTCGTCTCTATAAAATAACGTAACTTCTTCTCTTTATAACGCTTACAGCGAAACTCCATTTTAAGGCCCTCTTACTCTACGCGGGCGGCCCGGGAACGCTTCTACTTAGTCAAAGTTTGAGGACGTAGGGCACGGGGTTTTTAAACCTTAGGTATAGTTAGGAAGGCTACGAGGCAGAGACGGCTACAACGAGTGGACGGGCTCTGACCTTATATGCAGCCGGCGTCTCAACACGCGGCACGGGAAAACGAAATTCTAGGGTATCAAGACGATAGCCCTAAGAGGGGAGGTAATATTATAAGTAATAAGAAGGATTCTCTCCTTAACAAATAACGAGACGGCGGAAGGCCTATGGACGTCCACGTCAGAAGGTAATAATCAACGCGGGGCGCTGATCACGTAATTTAGCATCTCGCCAAGACAGGACATCTAGAGATGCCAGACCCTCAGGAGATGCTAGGACATCTAGAGATGCCAGTAACATCAGAGATGTCAAGGGCTTGGCCAGATATCAGGACTAGAAGCAATGAGGATATAAGGATGGATGGATTTCATTATTACTCTCGTTGTGGTTAACTCAAATTGTACTTTCTTACTAGTTACTCAACTTCACAAGATTAATACTTGTTAGTCTATTCGATATAGATTAGGAATTGTCAAACCTATTGTTATCTATCTTATAAGCACGCCCACTCCACTGCATCGCCAGACAACTACCTCACGGCGCTATTCACACATCCTTACTCGCCCTAACCCGGATCGAGCTTAGAGAAGTATCAGCACCCAACCCCGTGTAACAGGTATAGGTCTATACTTCTCTATTCTAGTCCGCACTAAGGCAGGTGAGTATTACGTTAGTATTCCGTGAGGCTTGTCTAGCGATGCAGTAGAGTTAGCGTGCTTAAGAAGGGTTTAATAAGACTAATCTATTTAATAGACTAACTTATGACAATCTTATTAAGTAAAGATACTAGTAAGAAAGTATAATTTAAGTTCACTATAATAAGAGTAAATAATAAAATCTATCTATCCTTATATCCTTATTACTTCTAGTCCTGTCCTCCTAACATCCTATCTTGGCGGGAGGTTTAGGAGGACGTTGGCTTCCCTTTATGCAGTAGCCTCCCGGAGGCTATACCTTAGCGGGATGCTAAGTCACGTGATCGACGCCCCGCGTTGATCATTTCCTTCTAACGTGGACGTCCCTAGGCCTTCAGCCATCTCGTCATTTGTTAAGGAGAGAATCCTTCTTGTTACTTGTAACACGCTACTCTACTATATTACTAGATAAATTATTAAAGAGCTTTTTAAATAACTATACTTACTCTAACCTAGAATAAGTCTAGGGAAGTATTAGTACCTAACCCCGTGTAACATAGGGATAAGCCTAGTACTACTACTTAGTGAAAGCTTCAGAAAGATATGCAACGTATATACGAAGCTATTACTACTCTATATTTAACTAAGAAGTAGAAGGAATTAGTATATATTTCTAGAGTAAAGATAGCAAGAAATAGGTAGGGATAATTTTATAGTCATTTTAGGAAAAATTAATCGTTAGGTTGAATAAGGAAGAGGTCGTCGTAGCGGCGGCAGCGGTGAAGAGAGATAAGCAGGTGTAGGATAGAGTCGCGGACTTATATCGCTCGTGGTGGCAGTACAGGTGCATAACAGGGTCAATAGATGGAGTTGGAGAGTTATGTGCTATACTTAGTTTTAATAAATTAATGATTTCTTTTCACAAAAATGTGTCTTGGAAGGCTGGAGCCAAAAACATATATATAAGGACTGGATTTACATGCTGCAAGTGACCTTACATAGTTTTCTTACTATCCGCGCTTATCAATACTAAACCTCTTGTATTTTTTGTTTCTTACTGTTAGTGAGTTTCGCTTACATTGGTTTCGGTATAGTATATACTCCCCTTCCTTTATAAACTTATTTACTCTACAGTAGTGTTTCTTCTTGTTAATATACTATCCCCCCAACCCTTCCCTCATTCACTAATACTACCAAGAGACCCCGCAGTTAGGTTTCACCGCCTTGACCACCAAAATACGAGTAGTAGTAGTAGTAGTAGTAGTAGTAGTAGTAGTAGTAATGACTAATTTCCTTCACTCTATAACAAACTAAATAATAGATGCTTTAATATTTAATACATAACTATATTAAAAGCTATTATATAGCACATCTCTTTTGTACTTGTCTTTCAATTCTACTGGTGCTTTACTCTATACAGAAATAGGCACTATCACTATCTCTAGCTCCTAGGTTACAGACTGTGTTAACGTTGTAGTATTGAAACTGCAGTACTAGGGTGCTAGCATAAGTTTGAATCGCAACTAGGTTATGTGCGCTGGTAGTAATATACTGTGAATACCCTCTGAGTATCGACCGTCAAGATTAGCTGTGAGTGAGGCTTAAGTAGGCATGGAAGTAGGATCAGGAAGGGTCTGGCTTTGGCAGGTGGTCTAGATGAGCAATTATAGATAAATAGGAAGATTTTTCTAACTATTACACCTCTGTGCTTGTCTGAAGGTAGATGTATAGTTACTCCCTGAGAATGGTACCTCTAGCATGCCGCGCACTCGTTGCACCGCAAGAACTCAAAACCGAGTTCCGCGCACATACTCCTAAACCTCGATTCCTGGGTTCCTGGGTTGACGCAGCATCCACCAAAACCGCACCCATACCCATATGATGCGCCAATGGCACGGCACGCTGCCTGTGAGTTGGGCGAGCCTCCCCGGCAAGCACACTTCCTGGCTTCGACGCCAGTCATCATGCTGAGCGCGACGAGAAGGCCAGAGACGATGGCGGTGCGGAAGAGCATTTTCTGTCAGAGTGAGCTGGCATTGCCGACAAGGAAGATTTTCATGATTTACCGTGGGCGATTGGTTTATGTTCGAGTTGATGAAGTCGGGTGTTTGATCTTTAGAGAATTCTGATGAGGGCACTTAGGCTTGATGGAATGTGGATTGAAATATCATTTACACTCAAAGATGACGCCCTGCTAATGTTTATCTTACTTTGTTTAGTTACTATATTCTCTCATGTGATGCCATATTAGCCAATCTTGCGTCTTACACGCTGCCACCATGACCATGCATAACCTTCATGTACCATATCTCTATAGACTTAGCTATATACAGGCCGATGGCTGCTTCTTAGTGTCTTCGAGCTGAACAGCTGGCCTCCCTCGAGCTGAGCAGCTGGCTCCCCTCGAGCTGAGCAGCTGGCCTCGCTTGAGCTGAGCAGCTAGCTTCTGTAAGCAGCGTCTTAGCTCCCTATACCTTACCACATAATTCAAAACAACTTTTAGCAAGATTCTGTAGTTATCAAATATAAATTTTATAATAGTATCAGAGATTAGAGCAGTTGTTAAGCGCTACCAGGTTTTGTTCTAAAATGACCGGAATATATCTAGGCGAATGTCCAAGCTACTGTACCATGTGCATTGTTTTACAACTGTACAGTGGTATCATTACAAGGATTATTCCAAATCAACAACAAGAACGTGGTGATTCAAAACAAACCCCTGGCCTTTAACGTAGAGTGTTCTGAGACCTTAAGAAAAAGGACAAGAATATACTATGGTTTAGTTTCCCTCTGCATGTTGCTGGGACTCTCCAAGTGTGAGCTCATAAGAGAAGTTCAATATCGTAGATATCCCCGGTGTTCTGATTCGCATTCCATCGGTAATCCGAGAGCAGGAAACGTAATTACAGCAGAAGAGAGATTCTGAAAGCATAACGAGGCTTTATTTCGGGTGACGAAGGTCTAGAATACAGCCTTAGTATACGAGAATAGTTCATAATAAGTTCATACATCGCGCAACAATCTAATAATCCGCACGCATTGACCTTATTCGCCGGTTTGTAAGGTAGTAGGCTGAGACCTGAGGTACTTAACGTTTTTAGACAAATACTAGAATTAGAAAAAGTAGTTTAGTGGATCATAGAGATAGCCTTATCTTCAGAGGAGCGATCAAAGTTATAGTCCAGAGAGGGGGGCCCTTAATAGGGCGGTGAGCCATAGACTAAGGTCATTCCCCGTGACCTCAATGTTGGATTTTCGAATGAGGGCTTTGGATCAGGGATGAATTTGGCGGCTATGATAACGGTTCCAGGACTTGTTCGAGATGTGGTTGCAGTCGAATATTCTACGCTACAATTGCTTCCTTGGATACTAGCCACTCTGTGAACGAATCTCATTGATTCTGGTCCCTCTTTAGGAATTTTTGCACTATTAATGAGTTCTAAGTTAAGCTCGCTCTAGACAAGATTGATCTGTATGTGATAAGTCTGCTGTGAGACTTGGCCTCAGCTGATGGGGACAGCTCAGCTTTACTTGGACCACCAAATTCTCAAGGATGCCATACACTGGAGACTGCATCACTATGGAGACCGCGCACAAAGACACAAGATCTGATTAATCAAGCATCGTCGATGACCATCGCCACTGTAGCGAAGCATCGAGTAAGCTAGGAAAGACTTATGATTTAAGAATAATCGGGTCGTAATATTGCCCCCGTGCTTATGGGCCCATTTTCAGGGCAATTATCAACCGTTCGACATCTACCAGCTATATCTCATCTTCAATAAGCTTGAATGTTGTTCAGCGTTACACGAAGCCTGATCACGACAGTGTTGGCACACCTGACCAGTCGCAGCCAGAACAATGACACGAACTCAAATAAGTCTAACAAGTCACTCGTTCTCCTCCATTATATCGAAACAAAAAATACGCTGGACCCTGAGTAGTGGGTGAGGGGTAACGCACTACAAAAGTTAGTGTCATACAGGTTCCATTAAAGCATGGGAGCCGCGCGTCTCCGTTCAAAAAAAGCGGCTTGTTCTAGCGACAACATCGTCAGCCAAGCTCACATCAATGAACTAAAAAAATCGGCGTAAGCAAGTATCGAGACCATTCGCATGGTACCCTTTCATCAAACTTTTCAGGCAATGACCTGTCACTCTGGAGGTGTGTGTTCTGTGTCATCAGTCCCAACAAACTATGTAAACATGATTCTGCGGGCTTTTCAGACTGTGTCCATTCAACATGTAAAAATGTCAATTCCTCTAATAGGAAAAGAAAATTTTCCTGAGACTGGATATAGTTATACTACCTAAAAATCATTAATGGGCATCATTTCATGATTTGACAATCTTATCCGAAGAGACATTGCCACCATCACTATCATCAATACTTGCCACTTCCTGGCCATCTACCACGATGGCATCGCGGCCAATCATCATGTGCTCAACGTTCACCTTGGGGCCCCTGAACCACTTGTGTGCAGAGATGAACCACCAACATATGATGATGAACATTGAGCCGCCGTAACAAAGGGACGTCCAGTTCATGGTTTTAGCGCTATACGAGTTTGTCAGCTTTCCGTGTGTGTGAATAAGAAAATAGTAGTAACAGAAAGGAAGAAACTTACGTCAATTGTGAGCCAGTGACACTGGGGAAGCAGAGAACCGGGATCATGAGAGCGACAAAAGAGCAGGCAATAGTGCCACAAGCAATAGAGTACTTGCCCAAGTTCCACGGACCAGGTCGGAAGCGGTCTCCGACAAAGAGGACGCGAATGGCAATGGGAATAGTAAAAGAGCTAGAAACACACGAAAGCATTAGCAAAGAAAGATTGATCCCTATAATACAAAAAAAAGAATCTTGGGCAAAACTCACATAAACGCGGCAATACCGCCAATCGAGAACAATGCGCCAACCGCCAGATTGCCACCGAAAATAAGTGTTAGAAGACAAATGCCAATAAAGGCGTTTCCCCACACAGCATTCACGGGGGTCTTGGTATACGGGTTAACCACCTTCCAGATGTTACTTCCAGGGAAGACATCATCACGAGCATATGCAAACGTGACTCTACTCGCCGCAAGCATGCATCCCTGACCCATACTGAATCCCGCGATAACCGTCAGCGCGAGGATGCACAGCGCCATCTTCTGCGTCATGCACTGCATCAGGTAGGCAGCGAAGGGCTGGCCTAGCGGTGACGCAACAACAGCGGGGATATCGACGACGGTGTAAGCGACGACGAGCTGTAGGGCCCAGCCTAGCACGCCACCGATAGTCGAAGTAGCGATGATGGCGCGGGGCGCAGCCACGTTTGCGTTTGAGCATTCTTCGGAGAGATGGAAGGGCGCGCTGTATCCGGACATGGTCCAGATGACGCCGATAAAAGACATGAGCACGCATATGCCCGGCGGGAACGACGTTCCCTGGTGGATGGTGCCCCAGACTTTGCTGGAGGGAGTGAAACGCGAGAGGCCGCGCTCAGGGCGATCGGTGCCGGCGGGAATCATGATGAGGACTGCGATGACGGCGAGGAAGTTGAAAGTCGAGCCTGCAGAGTTGAATTGGGCCAGCCACCGGGTCGGCATAGAGGAGATGACGCTGTGGATGATCATGATGCAGGATGCAAGCAGGAAAGTATGGAGGTTGGTCGGTTTGTAGGACGGGTTGGTGATACTCGCCGCTGCAAGAATCATGGACGAAATTCCGTAGTTCACTGAGATATCACATAGTCAGAAAAACTTATCCCTCTCTTTTTTTTCCAAAGTTCAAAATGTGTGTAAACTTGCCAGAAGGAGCGCCCGTGATCTGCACCAGCCAGTTACTCCAACAAGTAACCCACGATGCAAACGGCGCCCAAGCTGGAGGCGCCAGCACGGCAGCAGCATAGTACATTCCTCCACTGGTAGGCATACTGCTACACAGCTCCGCCATGCTCATAGCCACACACTGAATACCAATCATCGCTATCGGCCAGCCCCAAGCCATACCTGCGGTACCCGCATAGCCCATGCTGAAAAATAGTGTCGACGCAAAACTCGGGAGCAGTCCTAGAATCGCAAAGCTCACAGCGCACGTGGCGAAGAGCGAAAACTCTCTCTTGAATTCAGACTTGTATCCTAACGCTGCCAGCGCCTCTTCGTCCGCGTTGAAGGTTTGCTTTGCATCGTAGGGGATGTTGCCGTCCGATATTCTCGACGTCACGGGCTCCTCGGCCACAGGGCGGATCTTAAGCGTCGCCATTGTCCCTATCGCATTCGTATACTCGTGGAGGAAAAAAAGAAGTAAGAAGGCTAATGTGCAAAGGTCTCGTCTCGCAACGTTGTTGCGTCTCCCATAAATTCGGGGAGTAACGTCCAAGAAAAATGTATATTTATATAACTATACATCTTTACCTATACACTTAAGAGCGGAATTAACACACCTGCACGTACTCTATACGCTTCAACCCGTCACAGCACAGTACGCACAGTTCCGGCGTCCTCCCTGCTCGTATTCCCAAACTAAGCCATTCTCTTCTACGTACTGTGTATAAATGTGCGCGGTCCGTAGGACATCCCCCACACAGACCCACGCACGTCGTGCACACTCTATTTTAGCATTATCATTGCCCAGCGATACCGGGGTGGTCGAACGCGTACCTCTTTGAGAGCGACGAGGTCGGTGATAACAGAGCGACGCGGGCAGACGATTGGGTGCAGAAGAATAGCGCCGCTCTCGCCTATCTCTTTATCAGTTGCAGTGATGTGCGGGGGGAATGTTCGGCCGCCAGGGTTCGTGTGTCAAGGGCCCACGGACGCTAAGCTGTGTACACAAACACTAGGGGCTTGTGTACCCAATGTAAAATACGGGACCAAGCTGTTACGTCCAAATGCGTACTGTAGCATACCGAGTTGTTCGGAGGATATCAGGTCCAACTTGGCAAAAGGGTCGTTGTGACTCAGCGTACTGGAGTGGATATGGGTGTGTTTCCATCGCATGGTGTTGTTTAAGGTGATGCCAGTTCCTGCGTGGTGGTCGGACGACTGTTGTGATAAGCTTCGGTCTTATTGTTTCACTAATATTGGTTGGTGATAGCGAGAAGCCAGATAGGCAGTTTGGAAGCCAAGCAATACGCGCTTGCTCGGGTCTTGACGTGATAAGCTTTCGCATGTGTAAAATGGTTAGATCACACTTTTTATCCTGGATGGTGAGATAGATATGGCAACCCTGGACGTCAAAGCAATCCAAAGCGATGGGAAGAGCGATGTACAACGGAAACATTCCGTAGTGGATATCGACTCTACATTGACTGGATTTTAGATTTGGACAGTTAGTAATAACTGGTACTCGGAGTATAGTCTGCCTTTGTTCCTGGAAACGCTCCAGCAGGAGTGTCCCGCTCATCTTCGTCTGCGCTATCGTCTTCGTTGCCCTCGAACGCTTCACTTGTGTCGGGAGGCGCCCTCATACGGACGAGTGCATGCTCGTCGAGTGCCGGTACAACAAACATCTTTGTCGTATGATATTCTCGGCCCGAAGGCATACTTGCAAGCAGTGGTTCTGAAGGAGGAATGAGTTGAACGCCAACCTGCAGGTGTTAGCAAAATGGCTTCTGTAGATGTACATAGAATAAGGGAATTACCGTGTCGTTCTGCTTCTCCCACTTCTTCAGGAGCATATCAACTATCCTTCCCTCTTCAAATTTTCCCGCATCAGTGCCCCAGTCTACCCCCTTTTCAATCTTGCGATCTTCCCGCTTCTCTTGCCACTCTTTTTTCAGTTTAGAGAAACCCGAAGTCTTTTTATCTTCTTCTGCGCCTAGCGCTGCGAACCCCAGTTCTTTCTTCGCGCCACGTAACCACGCAATACCTTCTCCAGTTTTGCCTCCTGCCTCGGCGTCACAGGCGAGAAAACGACATGCCTTTCCCTTGGCAGTCCGTCTCAAATCATCCACGTACTTAACTAAATCATCGCTGATCTTTGTTGAGCGCCCAAGCATAGCTTGGGCTTTCGCAGCGTGTTCAGCAGAAGCAAGGCACAGCCGAGCAAACAAGTGCGCGCGGACTTTGGGAATTTCCACGCCCCTGAACATCCAGTCTTTGCTCTGTTTGTTCCTATCTTCTATCACAACACTTGGGTAGGGGTCGTCTTTCAGGACCGTGATTAGGGTGGCTTCGGCCATGGTGAGCTCTGCAAGCGCCCCCAGCACCGCCGTTGAAATGTCAACAGCCGCAGGCTGCGAACTATACTGCCCAGAGCGATTGAATAGATATGTGTGTATAGAATTTGCTTCGAGAAAGTGCTTCATTGCGGCACCAATCGCCGTTGCCCGCTGTTCGGGGGACGGTAGGGTTGCATTGTAGAGGGTATGTAGTTGTGCTCGGGCTTGGAGGCTGTATACATAGGCCAACGTCGACAGAGTGTAGCACAGCTCACTGTCCAGACTCTTCAGCTTGACTCTTGCAGGCTCGCGCCCTGGTATTGAGGATCCTAGTGTCGAGCGCCATTCTACTTCCAGCTCTTTGACCAGCACCAGGTCGATCTCTTCTCCCGCGCAGCTTGTGCCACTCAGACCGGCGTCCAGTGCAAATAAATATGGTATATAGTCATTGAGCGCGGATATTACAGTTGAGAAGTTGGATGCTTGTGAGGAAGGCGGTATGCGCTTGTGCCGCTTTAGCACGTCGCGAAGAACACCCCGCGCAGTGGTCGCACAGTTTGGTAGTGAGGGATGTGTGCTGCTATTGAAGTATTCGGTAAAGGATATGCTTGATGTAGTCGGCAGCACGAACGGAAAAGGCATCTTGCTGAGTGTTGGTTGCTACGGTTGGGAGCTGCCGATGCAGGTACGCAGGTAGTGGGGGGTGCAGTGAGGGAGCCTTGGCCTCATCATGCCACGACCAGAGGTTACTACGAGAAACAATGAGCATAGCCAGGGCTCCACCTATGTATGTATATTATTTTGTAAAGAATCACATCAATTCAAATAACTATAAACTGTATCATTGCAGTTATGAATTGGGTTCCTATAACTCGTGCTACATCAGCCTCCCATTCGGCACGCTTATGTACAGATTCGCCTGTAAAGAAGACTGTCGCATCTCTCCTCACGATGCCCGTCGATCGCCAGAAACCCGACCTCTACATTGTCCTCGTGCTGTTTCCTGTTGCTGTTCGGTAACATGGCTCGCCTGGTATACAAGTAATCATGTGTACACCCATCGTTCGTTGCGGATTCGTCTATCGCTTGAGCGCCTCATCGACGTAGTTTTGTTGTGCAAAGAGATATCCCTTGACCTTCGCATCCTTGAGGAGCTCAAAGTATCGCTCTGTATAGCCATTGTCAGCTGTGTTCCATGCCCATGTTTACACTCTGCAACGGATCTCGGCACCCATGTTGTCGGTCCTGGACCCCCACGTCGATTCTTCCAAGCTCTTAAATATCATAACAGGTCATTCAAAACACTTGAAAGTAAAGCGTACCTCGTAAATGTCCACACTTCTCCAAGTGGTTGACTCCCTCCCTCCGATAGCATTTGCCCATCTCTTCTCGAACTAACCTCGCCATCATGCTCCTGACCCACTGCTCCCTGATAATGGCATCCTGCGCAGCCTTCAATGCTTTGTTGTCCTCGTAGTCGACGCCATCAAAGGTTGGCGCAACCTTGGGCTTTTTGGCGAGAAAGAGTTCGGACTCGGGTGTCGGCATTGCGGCGGCGGCGAGGTGTGCGCGGGCGGATGAATCACGTCGATCTATCGGGGATACTCTGTAGAGAGCAATCCAAGCGGTGCTGGTACGGTAATTGGCGTCGGCGGTGGTGCGGATGCGCGCGAGCGTCGGTGCTGGTGAGCTTTGAATGGGCTCCGCTGCGATTGGCGGCCAGTGCACGTGACACCGCATCACCACCTGTGGCCGGCGAGCGACGCATAATCGTCATTAACATTTCTTTTTGCTCTCAGATAAATCTACCGCGCTTTCTGATAAGTTTAGTAGCATCACCTCTGTTGGAACTCTTCCAATTTGTACTGTCATTCTGTTGCTATAACGCTCATCACTTAGAGGCATGGATACTACAATGCAGTAAAGTACAAGGATCAATTCCGGGCTGCATCTGTCATTGACACAATGAGCATTGTTGCTGTTGTTATTGTTTTTTTACTTAAGATGAGCTTACTTATCAGAAGGTGGAATAGTATTCCTTTTTCCTCCTCCAATAAAGGTTCACATTACAATGTAACAGTCCCCGCAAGCCACGAGGACAAGACCCTCAGACCGATGATAGCCTCGGTCTCGATATACACCTCGCAAAATTGGTTAGATAGAGCCACCGCTCCATTAGTTTTAATCTTATTATGTAAATAAGCATCTGCCTATCATGCTGTAGTATTAGATATGTACATTCTTTTGGCCACAAAAGCCTTCAAATTCATGGAACAAAACTCCGGTCATGATGCAACGCTAATGCAAACCCCCGAATTTGATGGCATATAAATCATGCAGTGGTTTCTTTGTCCTTTTCCTTTCCAGCGTCGGTTGCTTGTACTTCTGGGTCAATAGGTAGTGAGCCTTTGCTAGCTCTCTTCTTTCGCCTTTCAGCTCGCTCAGCTTCCCTTTCTAGCCTCTTGGTCCTCTCGATCTCGAGTCCAGTCTTGGTTTCCTCATGCTGCTTGTCAAGCTTATTACGCCCGATCAAGAAGCTGACTATTAGCCCGGCGGCAGAGAATGCAGCATATAGTATCCACATGGTGCTTAATGAGTCTCCAAACGCCCTTCTTGCCACGAACTTTTGGGCTGGGGGTAGAGCTTGGATGAGACCTACATTTGCACCTGCAGAGCCTCCACCAAACGCTGCTGCTTGCTGTGCGCCCAGTGTAGCAGCCAGTTCTGGTTGTTTTAATTTCATCTGATTGTTAAACACCACACCGCCCACAACAACCGAAATTGCTGATCCAAGGTTGCGAACAAACCCAAAAGTGGCGGTTGCAGTAGCAATGTCTCGTTTCTGCAAAGCTTGTTAGCATCGGTGTACTAGTTGCAGCAGTAATCATGGGGAAGGTCGCAACCCCGCTCCCTGCGTACAGCTTCGCATTGAGGTATGCATAAGCGACCCGAGGCACGGACTGGTGGAGGAACTTACCGGCACGAGACTTTGCAGAGCAATGAGGGGGCTTTGAAAGTTCGGTCCGACGCCGATACCTGCAATGATTTGGTAGATGATGATCTTGGCCCAGGATGAATTGACGTTGAGATCGATAAACAATCCAAAGCCCAAAGTCATCATAAACATGCCAAGCCAAATCATTGGCAGGTACTGACCAGTTTTCTTGATAAAAATACCAGTAAACGCTGAGAGGATTGACAGCGATACCGCTTGTGGCAGGAGATAGACACCCGAAAGGATCGGTGTAGCTCCCAGAACAGCCTGGAAGTAGAGTGGGAGGAAGTAGTTGCCGCTGATGAATACGAATGCGTGAAAGAAGCAGACAGCCAAGGCAGCTAGGTTCGACCGTTTTGAGAAAAGATCGAGAGGCATCAGGGGATAGGGTGCTACCCGCCACTCAATGAGGAAGAAGATGCCAATAACCACCGCCCCGAAGATGATGAGACACAAAACGGTTGCAGAATCCCAGGGGTGTATGATACCACCGAATTCTAGTCCCAGCAACAACATGATGACACCGCCTACCATGGCCAGTGAGCCTAGCCAATCAACAGCTTTGAGACCCTCGCGCAATGGGGTTCTGGGCGTTCTGACATCGAGGAAAAAGAAGAGAATGAAAAATGCAAGTCCATCAAGCGGCAGATTGATATAGAAGCACCTGTGATAAGAGCAAAGTCAGTACAGGTTTCACGTATGTACCGTGCCATGCATGTATGCATGCATGAGTGTCACTCACCATCTCCAGGAAACTTTTTGCGTAAACAGTCCTCCAACGACCGGCCCGAGTGAACTTGCCAGTGCCCAGACTCCGCCGATCATACCATAATATGCGCCTCGGTCCCGCACAGAGAAAAGGTCAGAGATGGTAATGTTGACCAGAATAGTCAGGCCACCGCCACCAATGCCTTGAATTACTCTTGCAGCGATCAGCATATCCATATCAACGGCAACTCCAGCGAGAAGCGAGCCGACGAAGAATATGGCGTTGGTGAGCAGCAAGATGGGCTTCCTTCCGAAGATGTCCGAGACTTTACCCCAGATTGGCGCAGCCGCCGACTGAGCAATCAGATATGCCGTACCAATCCATGTGTATCCTGCAGCACTTTTGAACTGTTCCGAAATTGTAGGCAAGGCCGTCGTGACGATGGTGACATCCAGGGCCACGAGAAGGATTGCGACGGATAACGAGAACATGATCAGAGCGATCTGTAGTTTTGTTCTCGGTGGGCGCTCATCGCCCTGTGCGCCAAGTGCTGCAGCCGCATCACCAGTGCCGTCCACGGCAGCATCTTTCTCCTGTATGTTTTGATGATCCCTTTCCACTGTGTTGTCACGTGCTGCAATGCTGAGATCGCTCGATGGGGTGGACACATTCGGGTCTTTGTCAGGCAGTTGTTGCACATTCGTCTCTGGCAGGGACCCCCTGGCGGAGGCTGTCGTGTCGTGGGTGGAAGTCATGTCGAATTGTCGTTGGATGACTGTGGAAAAACAAACGTTCACGGTAGCACTGCGGCGGCATGTAGTATATACATAGGTAACGGCACACGAAACAGTGGCTCTGTCTTTCTTGTCGCACGCGAGTACGATCTTGGAAATAATAGGAAAGCCTCGCGCGATTCGGGGTTTTAGAACGACGAAGACCGAGCCAACGTCATTTGCACCAGTGCCAGACCCTTGCAGAGTTGTCGCTTGGATCGATCCAGCGCTGACCAATCTGTCGGCAGAAGTCTTCAGCCACACACACACACAGGGCGTGGACGCCCCTTGTAGAGAGTACGCCATGAGATGCGAATGTGCATACATGTGTGTATACAATCGTCGATACATGTCAAGACTTGTGGCTGCTCCAAACGGTTGATCAGCCCTACGTCTGGGCGCCACCGCAGGGTGGGTCCAAGGCTGGCGTACAATGTTCCACGGGCTGTCAACGTCTATCCACAAGTTCCATGGTCGCTGCAGACCTTATCGCCTTCAACTGCACCCGTAACTGCTGCCATGAGTATTCCCGAAAGTCAAGGAACAGCTTCGCGTGGAATGCGGCTCGAAGACCGCGGAGCAGAAACGTGCATTACGTAACACATGGCACACGGGAAAAGTAGTATGTACCGCCTTGGGAGCCCTCGACGGGAGAAGAGGGAAAGGATGGGTGCGGGAGTGTAGTAGTACGAGTGATGGTTGGGCAATACAGCTCGCATGAAAAGCCTTGGTCGTAGATGAGTGGTTTTTTTCTTCAAATACGGTCATGATTCATGACGGCTTGCCGTATCCACTGAAATATACCCCATAGTTGGCTCGTTCTTCGCGCGTTCCAGCAGGAGCTGAGCCCGCTCCAGGCGTCGAGAATGAAAAGAGGGGACGTCTACACAGATATGTACATTTACCTGATGGGCTCAATGTCGTATTGGCGCAGCATATGCAGGATACGGCACCGATAAGGGCCCTTGAGGTGGATCCGGGGTCCTCCCGGGCTCGATAGCAGGCGGATTTGCTTTGTTGAATTACTGCACTGCGGCCTCAACGTCATTCCCCACAGGTTCGCCAACGCCGAGAGGTCGAAGCAGATGCGGAGGAGCAGGCGTTTGGCAGAAGGCTGTGGATGGTTTTCGTCATATCCTTGGGTATCGGTGTCGCAGTCGCGAGCAGTGGCTTGGTGTTGAGAAGCTAGGTCGAGGGCTAGTGAGGCGGGCATGCGTCGCATTGCATATTGGACTGGAGCGCAAGGCGGCCGCGGCATCTCGTCGAGCTGGAGCGGGTGTTGTTTTTGCACGCAGCGCTCGAGCGGCGTTGGGGGCAGCGCAAACCGGTTCCCTTTGCCCCTCTCGCGTGTCTCGTGGAGTCGCCCGGCTGCCCGCACAGAGTGAGACTTCAACGCTCCTTGTCGGGGGGCGCTCAGCGGCGCTGCAGCGTATCCAGTACGACATGCATCCCCCGGCCACGGGGCGCGCAGAGGCAGGCGGCGAGGCGCGTTGTCAAGACGACTGCATCTAGCAGCGGTCTAGGCTTTCGAGTCCTTCAATCTGTTGGGCTGCATGCCGATCAAGCGGACAGGCCTGGCCTGCAGCTACTGGATAGCAGGACGCAACGCTGTGGAGCCCGTCAACGCGTATGGGCAGTGGGTGAAGGGCGTCCGATTTGCCAGGGCGCAATCCCGGGCTTGCGGGGTTGCGGCTAGCCTGCTGCGTCGCTGCGTCGGTGGGTGACGGTCTGGGTCGAAGCTTTGCGCACTATTGCCATCCATATCCAAACCTTCAATTCTCCAGTCTTCCCTCCTCAAGCCGCCTATGAATCCCCTCACCCGCCCTGCAAAGCCCTGCCCTGTTCTGCCCCCGGCATCGACGACTTCCCCACCCTGCGAAGCCTCTCCCCGATCTCTCCCCGCCGTCCCAACGCCCCAAATATACCTGGACCGCCTCGCCGCTCCGAGCCGCATGTCGACAACCACCACGCGGCCCAGCTCTGTCGACGCCGTGTGGCAGACCCTGTGATTGATATTGAGGCTCTCCACGCCTGCCAAAAGTCATGACGGCCATGCTGTCGCTCCCCCGAGACACCGCGCCCTTCCAACGCTCGCCCTCGTCGTCGTCGCTCGCCTACGACGCCTACTCGCCGCTCCGCAAGAACCAGTACTCGCTGCCCGACCTGCGCTCGCCCTCACTGAGCTCCTCACGCACCTCGTCGCTCTACTCGACGCCCTGCAGCAGCCTGTCGCTCGACACAAAGTCGGACGACTCGGGCAGCGACGATGATGGCCTGTCGTTTCCCAACTACAGCTCGGCACGCCAGCACGACAAGAGCACGCTGTCGACGGATGCAGCCTCATTAAAACCCTCAAGTGCTTCGATGCAGTCCCCGGCGCCACCCTCTCCTTCGCCCACGGAGGGCTTTTCGCCCGACTCACCGCTAACCACGCCGGACCCTCTGCCAATGTCCGAGGATGACACGGCCGTGCGCAAGAAGCCCTCACACCATGTCGACTACCTCTCGTACGAGTGGCGGGAAGAAGACATTTGGTCATCGTGGCGGCACATTGTCGAGCACCGCAACATCTACGGCGAGCGCTCTAGACTGGAAAATGCCTCGTGGCGAACGTGGGCCAAGGCCCAGTTTAAGCTAAAGACGGTGTCGCCCGAAACACTGAATTGGTGAGTGCTGATGATTTCGATCGGCATCCACGGCAGGGGTGTCGATCAACCCCCATCCGTGCACCCTACTTGCAGGTTTTTTTTTCTCGTGTCCTGTGCTCTGGCTAACCAATCGCTCAGGCTGAAAGACGTCGACGTGACATGGCTGTACGGCCCACTGCAGCCCGCGTCAAACCGCTTTTTCTCACAGCAAAATTCAGAGCCGCAAAGCCGCCTGTCCAAGACGAATTCATTTGTCAATGGCGTCAAGAAGCCGATTCTCAAGAAGCGGAGCATGTCTGAGGCAATGCTGCAAAAGTCAATCTCGTCGTCGTCGTTGGTCCAGCAAGCGGCCGAGTCGGTGCAGGCCCAGCGAACAACCGGTGTGACGCTGGACCTGCGGAGGCCTCGACCAATCATCGGCCGAGTCACTCCCGACTTCCCCACATCGTCCACCCTGTCCCGAGGCCACTTCTCAGAAGGAACCGACTACTTTTCTTCAAAGTCCACCTCGGAGCTGCACACGCCGGATCACGGAGAAAAGCGCCACATCCGATTCGACGACAAGGTAGAGCAGTGCATTGCCGTCGAGTGCAAAGAAGCCGACGATGAAGAGGACGACTGCAACCACAATCCCTGGGCAAAGTACCAGGACAATGATTCTTCGTCTGACGAAGGCGTCGTCATGATGAAGCGATCACGTAGAAAGAAGCCGCTGTCGCGCACAGCGTCGACGGCCAGCATCAGTGGTGACAACAAGACCATTGCCAAGCTGCCATCCACGACGCTCAAGTATCGCACCGACTCGCCAGATGTGCCCGAGACGCAGCAATCACATTCGCTTGGATTCTGGAAGCCGCGTGGGCTGTCTCCATCGCCATCTTCAGAAACACTGAAGCCTTCGAATCCCTCACGGAACTTTCTGCTTGCCGAGGACGACGAAGAGGGCGAAGAGTATTTTGATCCTGCCAGTGCATACGGCACAAACCGATCAAGTACACCAGCGGGCTCCGAGCCTTACTCATTTCGACGCAGCGAATCATCAGCATCGCTGCAAAGTGGCCAACTTCGAAGGACACCATCGGGCATGTTTATGCCGTTTGGAGACGAAGAGGAAGAGCCGCTGCCGCCCTCATTGTTAGGCAGGGTGGTTGACACAGTAAATACTGCACGAGATATAGGTCATGTTATATGGAATGCGGCATGGAGTAACTAGGACTTTGACTTTAGCGCATGGCGTTCGGGACTTGTACTATTCTTACGGACAGGACTGGGGCAAAGAGCATACTACACACTCGGGTTGCACCTGACGGCCTGGCTAGGCGGCGGTGTTTTGATATATATATATCTCGATTGCAATGTTGCTTATGAATGCATCCGTGGGCCTATAGCAATGGCTCCGTCATTAATGGCAATGCATGAGTTAATTCACAGAATGGTCGCCTGTAAGCGTGCGTGGAGCCTTGAGATGGCATTGGGGACTAATAGGCTTACCATAATTACGGAGTCGCGCGGCTGAACCGGGCTGTGTGGGTGGTGCCAGGCGACGATGCCAAGGGTCTGCCTGTCTTTCAGCGGCCGTGCGACGTCTCATTTGATTACTCCAATTGTGACCTCGTCTCTAGCTACCCGGTAGCTTGAAGAGACGTGTACCATGTACGCGAGGGCCTGTTGCCGCATCCACCGTTTTGAACGTCATGTTCAGACCATTGAATACACCAGGCAAGCTATGTTTGACGAGTCGACCTTGAATGGCAACTTGAACAATGGCAAGGCATTACATAACCACGAGTGGTAGTTAGTTAACTAACTAGTCGTTGTGCTTATGTATCCGGACTAGCGGGAATGCCCGGGGTGCTGGAGGTAAGAAGTAAATGTATCCCGCAATAAAGGCAGGAGCTATGGTGAACCCAAGACCGACGTCCAAGGAGCTGCATGATGATACATACAGAATAGGCAATTGATTATGTTTCATGCCACAGCTGCACAGGGCACTTGTATCAGGGCCAATGTGCAAGAGGCCAGCTGTCAAATGCGCATGCGTAGAGCGTTCTTCTGCGCGTTTCCATAGCCGTTGGCAAGGGTCCGTGGCACCCGGCCACTAACCGAGAATAGTGGAGAGCTTTGCTGCCCGCCTTCCCTGAAGTTGACCACCGTGGCCTTGAGCTAGAGTACAACGCCCGCATTTATTTAGCTACCACTTCGCCCCAGACTTCCCTTCAACCCTCCACTCCACCCTGATTCAAGTCCTCTGCTCTTCCTAGACGGCAGGCACGCACAATGCGCTTTGCAATTGGTGCTACCGCTGCGCTCGCTGCCGCCTTTGTGCGCGCAGAAGACGCCAGCTCCCCCGAAGCCGAGGCCTCGCCCTCATCCGCCATCACAAAGCCTACCTTCAAGGTATGTTTCCACACTGCTCCTCGTTCAAGAGAAGCATTCACTGACGTTTTTTGCAGGCCACAACAGTCAAGGCACCCTTCCTCGAGCAATTCACTGACGACTGGGAAACTCGATGGAAACGCTCAAATGCGAAGAAGGAGGTCAATGACGAAGAGGAGTGGGCATACGTTGGTACCTGGGCCGTCGAGGAGCCTTCTGTGCTCAAGGGCATTGAGGGTGACAAGGGATTGGTTATCAAGGACCAGGCCGCTCACCATGCCATCTCCGCCAAGTTTCCCAAGGCCATTGACAACAAGGATAACACCCTCGTTGTTCAGTACGAAGTTAAGCTTCAGAGTGAGTCTTGTCGCTATGACTTGGGCTACATTGGCATTCTGACATGAAAACAGACGGTCTTGACTGCGGTGGTGCGTACTTGAAGCTCCTCCAGGACAACGCAGCCCTTCACGCCGAGGAATTCTCCAATGCCTCGCCATACATCATCATGTTTGGTCCCGACAAGTGCGGTGCTACCAACAAGGTACGTAATAATGACTTGCTCTTCTATACTTCAATGCTGACGTTCTAGGTCCACTTCATTTTCCGCCACAAAAACCCCAAGACCGGCGAGTACGAGGAGAAGCACCTCAAGAACCCTCCTATGGCGCGTATCGTCAAGACCTCGACCCTCTACACTCTCATTGTCAAGCCCGACCAGACCTTTGAGATCAAGATCGACGGCGAGTCTACTCGCAACGGTACCCTCCTTGAGGACTTTGATCCCTCTATCAACCCCCCAGAGGAGATTGACGACCCTAAGGACTCCAAGCCAGAAGACTGGGTTGATGAGGCCCGTATCCCTGACCCCGAGGCTACCAAGCCCGAGGACTGGGACGAGGACGCTCCATTTGAGATTGTCGACGAAGAGGCCACCAAGCCTGAGGACTGGCTCGAGGATGAACCCAAGACCATTCCTGACCCAGAGGCTGAGAAGCCCGAGGACTGGGATGACGAGGAGGATGGTGACTGGATCCCACCCACTGTTCCCAACCCCAAGTGTGACGAAGTCTCTGGCTGCGGCAAGTGGGAGCCTCCTATGAAGAAGAACCCTGCCTACAAGGGCAAGTGGACCGCTCCTTTCATCGACAACCCTGCTTACAAGGGTGTCTGGGCTCCCCGCAAGATTGCCAACCCTGACTACTTTGAGGACAAGACCCCGGCCAACTTTGAGCCCATTGGCGCTGTAAGTTCCTTACGTCTAATTTGTTGTGGTTTCTCGCTAACATTGCAATAGATTGGTTTCGAGATCTGGACCATGTCTAAGGACATTCTCTTCGACAACATCTACATTGGCCACTCCATCGAGGACGCCGAGAAGTTCAAGGCTGAGACATTTGACATCAAGCACCCCGCTGAGAAGGCGGAGGAGGAGGCCACCAAGCCCAAGTCTGAGGATAAGCCCAAGTCGCCCTCTGACCTCGTCTTCCAGGATGACCCGGTTCTCTATGTCAAGGAGAAGTTCAACCTCTTTGTTGAGATTGCCAAGCGTGATCCCGTTGAGGCCGTCAAGTTTGTTCCCGAGGTTGCTGGCGGTATTGGTGTTCTAGCTATCACCATCATTGCCATCCTCGCCACCGCTCTTCTTGGATCTGGTGGTGCTCCCTCAGCAGAGCAGGTCAAGGCCCAGGCGAAGAAGGCCAAGGACGCTGCCGGAAAGGCCAAGGACAAGGCCGCCGTGGCTGTCGCTACTGGATCTGAGAAGGCTCAGGCCGAGGTCAACAAGCGTAACACGCGAGCAAATGCCTCATAGATAGTAGACAGCGGTGTTGTTGCAAAAAGCATGTCTAGTTGAGAGAGTGCGGGATGTGGAAAACATAAATGCCTCACGAATGCGAGTTGGTCTGGGAGGATTCACCCGACCCGGCATGAAGGCTTTTTTTCAGAACTGTGGTTATATAACATTTTGAGCTCTATGGCGTTATTGCTACAGTGTCGTGATCTAATACTAGGCAAATAAAGTATGCAATTTCTGAAGAAAGAATACGCATTAAATGACACACGCAACGTGATCGAAACCGAAATGTGCTCGTATGGTGTGCAGATGTGGTATTGAGGGCGCGTGATAGTAGTGTACGACCCCGTAGACCACACAGACCACACAGACGCGGTAGACGCCGCGGAGGTGAGGATAAGCCTTGGATAGCCAGGGCTACCTCGGGAGTGGACTGCGGGGCCCTCTTCTCCAGAGCTCCGACGGTTGGTTACAAACGGTAGCCCGGAACAAGTTTCCCTTAACAGGCAGAGGTGCTTTTTTGGATAACACGTGGACTTGTTCTCTCTAATAATATAGTTCAATTCACCTTGTGGATTGCGTCGCAGGACTTTCTCGGTTTCTCCTCAAGTCGGTCTTGAACTCTCGCATCGTATTCCCCCACACTCGACCCGGCAACTGCCTTAGAGCAATATGGCCTCCCGCCGAGCGCTGGCCCGCCTCCCGACGCTGACCGCTCGTTCGTCCTTGGTTCGCGCAACTCCTCTATTCACCAGAATGTCGACTCCCATCAATCAAAGCAAGGTTGCTGCTCGGCGGCTACATGCCACCGCTCAGCACCTGAAGCCAGCATCGTCTGCAGCAGCCGAGTCGTACCCCATGAACCACGAGCCAATCCAATCGCCGGCAGACACACAGAACTTTATCGACAACCAGTTTGTCGCCTCCAAGGCTACACAATGGATTGATCTGCATGACCCAGCGACCAACAACCTGGTGACACGGGTTCCGCAAAGCACGGATGAGGAGCTCAAGGCGGCCGTGGATAGCGCCGAGAAAGCTTTCAAGCCATGGAAGGAGACGAGCTTGCTTCACAGGCAGCAGATCTTGTTCAAATACACACACTTGATCCGCGAGAACTGGGACAGGCTAGCAGCCAGCATCACACTCGAACAGGGCAAGACGTTTGCAGACGCCCGAGGCGATGTGCTTCGCGGTCTACAGGTCGCAGAGACGGCATGCGGTATCACAACCCAGATGACGGGCGAAGTGCTCGAGGTCGCCAAGGACATGGAGACACGCAGCTACAGGGAGCCACTAGGTGTTGTGGCTGCCATTTGCCCTTTCAGTGAGTACAAGACCTGAGGTGCTACACAAGGATACTGCTAATGTGTTTGGCAAGACTTTCCCGCCATGATTCCGCTCTGGACTATTCCCATAGCTGCTGTGACAGGTAACACTGTTGTTATCAAGCCCTCGGAACGCGACCCCGGTGCGTGTATGATTCTGGCTGAGCTTGCCGAGAAGGCTGGCTTCCCTCCTGGTGTCATCAACATTATTCACGGTTCGGCCAAGACTGTCGACTTCATCATTGACGAGCCACGCATCAAGGCCATTAGCTTTGTAGGAAGCAACAAGGCTGGAGAATACATTTACGCACGCGCATCTGCTCAAGGCAAACGTGTACAGGCCAATTTGGGCGCCAAGAACCACGCTGCTGTGCTTCCCGACTGCAACAAGAATCACGCTCTCAATGCTATTGCCGGTGCTGCTTTCGGAGCCGCCGGGCAGCGATGCATGGCTTTGAGTACCTTGGTCATGATTGGTGAGACAAAGGACTGGGTTCCTGAGATTGCCGAGCGCGCAAAGGACCTTTCCATGAACGGTGGTTTCGAGGACGGCGCCGATCTTGGACCTGTCATCAGCCCAGAGTCTAAGAAGAGAATCGAAGACCTGATTGCCAGTGCTGAGGAGGAGGGTGCGACTATTCTCCTTGACGGGCGCGGCCAAAAGCCGCCGTCTGAGAAGTATGCCAATGGCAACTGGGTAAGTAGTGGCGGTGTGTGGATATGTAACATCAGACTAATTGAGGTCATAGGTCGGCCCTACCATTATCGCCAACGTCAAGCCCCACATGAAGTGCTACAAGGAGGAAATCTTTGGGCCAGTGCTTGTGTGCCTAAACGTGGAGACGATTGACGAGGCCATTGACATGATTAACGCAAATGAGTACGGAAATGGTACCGCCATCTTCACCCGCTCAGGGGCGACTGCCGGCCGTTTCCAGCGCGAGATTGAGGCAGGTCAGGTTGGTATCAATGTGCCGATTCCAGTCCCTGTAAGTGTGCCGGCTAGCCTCAATGAATACGAACGGATGTTAACAACAGCGCAGCTCCCCATGTTCTCCTTCACCGGCAATAAGAAGTCGGTTGCAGGAGGCGGCGCAAACACATTCTACGGAAAGCCAGGACTACTCTTCTACACACAGCAAAAGACGGTGACAAGCCTGTGGAGGAGCGAGGACGCAGTCGCGACAAAGGCGTCGGTCAACATGCCGACTCACAGCTAAGTAAACAAAATCTGACGTATTCTCTTGTTGTTGCGCGGTCTCTCTTGCCAGTGAGGTGGGCGTTCTTGGTTATATGAGCAAGGGACCAAACTACAAAAAAAGAAACAATTAACCGCTGGAGGAAGTAAAATGAACCATCTAGTACAAAACCTTAAAATTTGAAAAAAATAAGCTTATTTGACCTTGTGATTGCTGTAATCTCTTCAGAGTTCTGACCGTCTGCATCAAGTTACCTTAGAGTATGTATGGAAGAGTCAGGCAAATGCCAAGCCACTTTCCCTCTTTGAAGTAAGACGCACGTGACTCAGCCACCATCGGGGAAATCGGAGAGAAAAAACAGCTGAGGTCATAATCACTCACCAGCCCAGCTCACAAAAACGGCTTGGACAGGCATGGTATTCGGCTCCACTCGGAACGCCCCAAACGCTTCCCGTCCGGGCAATTGAACGAGAAGATTCGTTGGCAGCTTACAGTAATTTGTGCATCCAAGTATGCAAAAAACACACACACATACACACTACGTACGTAACGTAACGTACACAGTACATTAACTAACTACCTTTCATCTTTTATTCCTCGCACGCTCCCCCCCCCCCCAATTACGTCCGTGGCAAAGGGCAGAACAGCAGATCTATGTGCAAGGATAACCACCACCCACATACGCATTACGAGACTACCTTGGCCTGTAGTTAACACATGGAAAAGCTATACGCAATCGCCGATGCAGCGCGGGTACCCCCTCATGTCATCATTACCGTGTATATGTATATGTATTGTGTTTTAACAAAATCATGTTTGGCAGGGCCAACACGGGGTTTTTGCGTGGTTTTTCAAGTAAAAGTAGTGTAGGGTAGTGTAGTGTAGTGTCTAAAACGGCGGGCGTTGCTGGCGCCAATGCGGCGATGCCAGCTTGTCCAAAGGTGTTCGGCCACGCTAATGTGCTAAGGTATAGTGGGGGGATTTTTTTCTTGATTTTGGGTAGGATATTGCATGAATAGCGTGGGAGGGGGGAGGGTGTTTTTTGTGATAGGGGAGGGGAAGGGCGAGCTAGACTACTGCCAGGGTAAGAGGAGGGGGGAGGGAGGGAGGTATTATGCAAGTGCTGATGCAGAGGGTGTGCTCTGGGCTGGGGGGTTGCAGGGCAGCTTGCGTGTATAGTGTACCCTTTGGGGAGTTGTTTTTGTTGCTGGCGGGCCAGGGTAAGGGCTTGGCACTTTGGGTGTGTTTGTCCTTTGGTGAATGGGGGGACGGATGCAATTGATGGCTGCGGACTGGCAAGCAAGCAAGCAATCAAGGCAGAAGAAGAAATCATTGTTTTGTTTGTCGCCCGTCGAGTTGCAAAATAGAGTGGCGGAACAGACGGAGGCTGGACAGGTTTTTGATGATGGCAAACGCATAGGTCAGATCATTGTGGCTGGGACCGGCGCGCGGGTAGTCAGGCCCTATCTGGCAGACGGACTATCGATGCTGTCTAAATTTGTGCAGTCTATGTACATACTATCGGGCGATTCCCAGATGTGGCCGCGGGGGATCGGGTTTTAGCAAGCGTGACAGATGGTGTGGATCGATGGACATGCTAAGAAAATGTGTATGCACTCATTGTTTGTCGCTGGTCAGTCGATGTCTGAGTAAATAAGGGCGTGTAGATAAGACGGTAAGCCCATCTGCCGACTGTCCGGTTGCATCTGTCCGGTTGCATCTGTCCGTTGTCTTGCTTGGCCCAGGTCCGAAGCAAGCTCCGCGCCAGGGCTTTGCTCTCTGCGTTTCAGAAAGTGGATCGGCTGTGGACGTAGATCGTCTTAGACTCCAATCGGGATAGCTGGGCGGCGCCGTTGATGACGAGTCGTCGTGGGTAAGTCGCAGGGCCGAAATGGCGAAGCCTCTACGTACCGCGCGTCGTATTCGCAGCTTACTTTGCCTGACCTGACCTATGCCAGAAAACCACAAGTACTATTGTCCCGGCCACCCACTTCATCTCGCCCGCTCATATCGCTGCCACAATCTCTCTTACATCCCTCGTGTGTTTTTGCGACACCCATTGTCATAGCCATAGCCCCGTCTTACTCGCCTTATCATTTAACCCACTACCCACACTACCCACATCTTGTCGCGCTGGGATCACTTTCGCGTGCGTTCACACCCGCCGCCCACTCACAGACCTGGTCCGCCATACCCGTCCGCCGCCAGCCTTCTTGGAGCAAAGTGTAATCGTCGTCCTAAAAACAGGGAAAGCGAAAAAGGAAAGAAAGTAAAAAAAAACTGGGTAACTGAAGCGCGCGCTCCCCCCCAACCGAACCTGACTCCGCTTTTACAATGGAGAACCCGACTCAGAAACCGCGCCAGCGAGGCCTCAGCTTCCACAGCAACAAAAGTCGCGACCCGCCCGCGCCAAAGAGCCCAAAGAGTCCTTCCTCCAAGCACGAGCGCAAGTTCAGCGAGCACCTTGACCCCAATTCAAAGGCGGATCCAAACAACGCTATGAACGAGCTACAGCCCAGTATGTCTGCTGCCCTTCCTGCGGTCCTGCACTGCTGTGCCCTACCTGACCCTGCTTTTGTTGAGCGCTCGACATGGCCTTTGCTGACCGCTTGATCCAGTTGCCGCTGCGCTCGAGAAGCCTACGCTCCAGTCTCTACGCTCATTCCAGCATACCGATTCCTCTGGTAACCCAATTGGTATGTTGTGCTTTTGTTCTTTTGCTATCCTCAATGCTATCGCGCTTTGAGCATCACAGTCTAACAAACGGCCCACAGTCGATCCTGATCTCTCCAACCCCACTCGTTCTAGATGGGAGCGCCCGCTCGACACGATCCGCTCTTTCGAAGCCGCCATTGATGGCGAATATAGGCGTCGGTCGCAGTCTATGCGCGTCGATAACACAGACCATGGAAGCCGACGGAGTAGCTACTATGGCGGAGGCTACAATGACCAGAGCCGCCACTCCAATGCCAGCTACTTTCCTCAGAGGCAATACGGTCGCGATAGCTATGCAGACGGCCACGGCTATGGCGGACCTGTCGGCGGAGGACCACCACCCCCACGGATGCGGTACGGCAACCGGATGCAGTCGGACCCGGGATGGACCAACAGGCAGAGTATGCAGGGTGTCTATCCCGTGAACGGATACCAAAAGTCCCGCGACACGGTACATACCAACGGCTCCAATGGTAGTCATAGCGACGGTCCATACTCCAACGACCCCAGCAGCGAGAACAGTTCGATCGAGCGCGGCGTACCCGTCCAGCCACCCCAGCAAGATTTGTCATCGCAATACGCCTTTATCAATAACTTTGGCAGAGGGCCTATTCTCGAAGAGTTTGGCGAGCGCCCCGGTTATGAAGCTCCGCCTCCGCCTCCGCCTCAGCATAACGGCATGTATTCAAACGGCTCACCCCCGCAACCCCCGAAACACGCCATGCAGCCTGCACCAGCGCCCATCAAATTGGACAGTGGCAGCGCCCCAGCCTCCGAGCAGACACGGCCCAAGATTCTGTCCAAGAACAGCAGCAATGCAGGGGAAAAGCGCAAGAGTTGGCTTAAGAAGCGGTTCAGCAAGGATTAAAGAGCCGAAGTAGCTGATTAACCAGCGCTCTATGAAGGATTTGATATACCCCGGTGTGGTTGCTATAAGAGCTTGTAGCAGAAGTGGCGCGTGTCTTGTGTGCCACACAAACCAACCATGACGATGAATTGATGAAGTCCTTTTTTTCAAGGCGGGGGGAGAGGAAATACAGAGAGCTCTGCTTCGACATTGGAGACGGGGGAAAGAAGGGGGCCGCAGGCGGTTTTAAACTTGAGATCCGCTGGGCGCATGTCATTCCTTTTTTTCTGCTGTGCCAAAGCATCCTCTTGGCGTTTTTTCTCTATAGATGGCGTTCATCTTCTTTTTCCCTTTTTTTTCCTTTTGACGGAGAGAGGGATTATCATGATGGAAAGGGAAATATGGGATATACCGAGGGTTCTCTTTTTTTGCTCATTAGCTGTGTCTTCTTTGGTCACTCCCTTGTTATGATGTGTTTGTGTGTGTGTGCGTTTTTTTCTTCAATTCTTATTCTCTGTTTTTTCTGCACGCATGAAGTTCTTTATTTTGTTCCGCTTTTACTACACCATTCCCTCCCCCCCCTCCGGGGCGGAATCCTTGCTGCAGTAGATGGGACCTAGTTTTCTAGGGTTTTTAATATGGTAATTCTAATGCTGTGATGAAAAGTAGTGAACATACTAGTCTTTGCTTTTGACTTTGATGATGTTAAGAGTTGCATTATCTTTCTAGATGAACTCTACAGCGATCCAAGTATTTGCCTCCCAATATGCTGACTTTGAATTGCTTTTTCAATTCTTTACGAGAGAGGATGTGGAAAATAATTAAACTTGCTCATACTCCAGTTCCCACTCCCTTACGCGCCCTCTCCCCCTTCTATTGAATCGTATTACAAGCAAACGATCCCAAGATCTCCCCATACATCCCCTGCTCACTTCACCCCTCTCAAGCCCCCATAATCCTATCCTTCTTACTTCTCGCCTTCGCCTCCTCCCGACTAGCCTGTTGCTGCTCTTGCTCTACCTGCTGCTGCTTGGCCTCGTACAACTTGCGCTGGCGCATCGCTTCCCACTGCTCAATGTCGTTTTGCGTAAGCGTGATTGTGGTAGGGGCGCGGCGGAGCATGGTTTTGGCTAAGTAAAGTAAGATGGATGTGTGTGGGATGTGATTAAGGGGTGGCGCGGCGTGAATTTTGTTTGGGTGGAGGAGGGCGGTTAGAGGGATCCCAGAGCGATGATGTGTTGGGTGGTAAAAGGATTGCGGTTGGGTGGCGGTGAGAGTGGTGGATGGGAAATTGTTGTTTACAGTTAACGAATGAATAGGTTGTATGAGGAGGGGGAGATGAGATGAGTGTCTTTATGGTGAATGCAAACGCCAAGTCACATGGCAGAGTGAAGCACAGAGCACGTGGTGCGGAGCGTTAACTTGGGAGCAAGGATCCCTGCTTCCGCCAAGACTTCGTGATCCGAAAGTTTGGAGTTGAGCGTGCAATCACACAATCGATTGCTATCCATTCCGGCATGGCTCAACGACAAATGTACGCTTCAATGGGTGCGCTGCGGCGCTCATTGGGAGCAGATGTAGCCTCGGTACAGGCTTGCTCATCGAGAGCATTGCACAGCTCGGCGAGGAGGCTGGAAGAGCAACCCAGCGATGCGTCGCCCGCCCAGCGTACGTCTTCAGTCTTTCAATTGTACGCCTAAGAACCGCTGTATTGACACAAATGCAGCGCCAAACTCCCGCAGAGTACGCTCAGCCACTGCTCTCAAGCAGATTGCTTCGCTGCAATACCGCCGCCAGCCCGGCGCACTCGCACGAGGTTCCTTCCCCAGCGGCCAAATGCTACAACGAACCCCCCGCTCCCCCACCACTCAAGCCAACGAATATGGCTTCATCCCCGAAGACAGTGCTCCAGCCAACACCCAGCAAGACGCCAGCGCCCGCGCCGCACGCAACACTGCAGGCCCAAGGACAACCCGCGGCTCGGCCCCTCCACAAGGCCAAATGGTCCGCGCCCCTTCCACACTGCGTATGAGCCGCCCAGCACCAGGAGGCGCCACTCGGGGTCCCAACCTGCGCGGTCGCGACGCCCGCAGACCAGCCACCGGCGGGAAACGCAGCACAGCGGGGAACAACCGCGGTGAAGCGGGGCCCAAGCGTCGAGAAAAGACATCTGGAGGCGACGAAACCATGAGCACGAAGCTCGCTGATGTAGAGCTCGGTGATACCATTTCAGATGCTATGACGCAGCAGTTGCTTCGCCTGCAGCGTAAAGAGTGGGATCGCGTTCCCTATGAGCCTAAGTACGCTAAAGGAAGCTTTGCGGCGAATGAATTGATACATGCGGGGAGAGAGCTGTTCAAGGGTGAGAGTCCGCCAGTTAAGATTTGGGGACCGCTTGAGAAGCGGATTGGCGTTGTTGGCATGTTTGGTGCTGAGGCGCGTTTGAAGGTCCGGCGCGTGCTGGATGGAGATGCTGAGCCGTTTGGTCAGGAAGTGATTGAGGAGGCTGAGCCAGTGGAGGTTAAAGGTGTGGAAAAGAAGGAGACTGTTGTACAATAGAAGAGGTTGGGACATGCGGATGATACTTGTATGATCTAGAGGCAATCAAAGGATACGGAAGGGACATGTGACGGCCAGTTGTATCTATTCCACAGGCTTTATGTGTAATACATCAATGGTTGCACCATGAATCATTTTCCTACTCTGCCTGTTCGAACAGGGAGTTTGTTCTTACTTGGCCTACTTCGATGCCCAGACAACCTTATACTTGAACTGCGTCGGGAAACTCTTGTCCGTAATAAGCAACTCCTCGCCCTCCTCGACCAAATCAACCATCTTCTTCTCCAAGTTGGGCCGCGTCTGCTCCTCCAGACCTGCAAGCTGCATATAGAGTGACTTTTCACCTGTGCGAATCGAGGGTTTCTTGAGTTGCCTACATCATATCATCAGTACAGCATTCTTGTATAGCCAATGCAGAAGTGAAAACGTACGCTTCTGGACGTTCCGCTAACCCCTCAATAAACTCTTGCAGCGTAATACCAGGGAGGATCTGGAGGGGTCGCGCGATATTTCCGGCACTGCATACAGGACAATCATCCTTCTTCTGGTGCTCAAACGTATATGTGTATACAGAGTCGTCCCCGGTATACATCATGTAATTGTCCATGCCTGGGTAGCCTAGGAAAGGATTGCTGTTGGTTGCCACTTTGAACGCCTCGTTGCAGCAGCTCGCTGCTACAATAGCGTTCGTACTGGCAATTGCTGGGATGATGTTCTTGACGACTCCTTGGGTCATGCTGTATGTTACTCCATCAATGTTGAATTCCTTGGCGCGGGCAGTGGCTTTGTTGAAGAGCCAGGTGATGTGCTCTGGGTCATCGGTATCTAGGGTAATATCCTTGCGTTCCTCCTCCCATGCGATGATGTGTGCCCATTCGATGCAATGTTGCGGCTGCCGGGGAATAGTGGCGAGTGTACAAAGAGGCACTGCAGCGCGGGGCGCGTGCATGTCTAGTTGGCATTCAATGCACGAGGTCATGGTGGGGAAGATGACACGTGCTTGGCCTTTAAAGCCCTCTGTGCCGCCATCGATCAACGGCTTCATAGAATCCGGGTCGTTCTCATCTACCATGCCCACGAGCGTGGCGTTGATCCAACGTCGTGCCTCAATGGAGTCTAGGCCGCAAACAATGAGACCGAATTGCATGTAGTATGCTTCGTCCTTGTCCTGGATCTTGCCACAGTACGGAGTGATTTTGACGTCTTTGACGCGCTTTTCTACGAATGCAGCGGCGGTTTCTGCCTTGTACTTTCCTACGTCTGAAGCCCGGAAGAGGAATTGCCGATTCAGGTTGCTGACGTCAATTGTGTCCATGTCGATTACGTGGATATCCTTGAAGCCTGAGAGGGCAAGGTTCTTAAGAATTTCACACCCTAGACCACCAGCTCCGCTGCATCTCGTCAGGAAACATGCTGGATGCAAGGGGCGACTTCCGTTTGGCTTGATGATAGACTCACATGACGCTGCGTCGGATTAGCTCATATTTCGTGTGGTTACAAACACAACATACTTACAGAACTTTGAGATTGCTCAGATACTCAATGACTTGTTCACCAGCCATGAAGCTATCCTCATCTGTAAAAGGTCCCTTGCGAGTCAAAAACCTATCGAGGTACTTCCTATCGCGTTGTATCAGCGCTGAGCTTGGGTATCTTCGGCTTTCTGTAGCTTACCACCGGGCCCGTGGATTGGCTGTTGATGCAGCCCCCATATCGTTGACGTTAACAGCCATATTCGGTAAATGTGTAGAAGGTTGATGTATTATCAGTCCAGCAGAGCAAACAGTAGTCATAGGCATCAGAGTGTAGACGGACCGCCAAGACGCTAGCATGCGGGTCTGCGCATGGGAAGGAATCGCCGATTGGGCACAGTACACTACGCATCTCCGGCTACGCAACATTGCAGTAGGCTGGTAAAGTCACCGTTCTTGACGCATTCATTCACCTTTTTCCTTGGATGAATCGGATACCATGGCCGATTTTTTAACGGCGGTTTCTACCAGCAAAATCAATCGTAGCGAGCTTCTTATCCAAGAGGTTAGGAGCCTAAACGCACAAGAAGATGCAGTGGCCATTGACTCTGCAGAAACAGCACTAAAAGCGTTGAAATATCAGCCCAGTCGGACGACTGTAAACAGTGTTCTAGATTACCTCACTGTAGAGGGGTTTAGCCTCTTACTTCCGGACCCGCTCAATGCAAGCGTCGCTCATCAACTTGTGAACGATACCATTCCCAACTACTGGAGATCAATCAAAGACCAAAAAGAAGCAAAGAAAATTGGAAAAATCCTTCGAAATCCAACGAGTCTGGGACATATTGTTACAAGACTTCGGTCGCTCATCGTGGATAGTCGTCAGAAGAAGAAACCTGGAGAAGAGCGGAATACAGCTGAACACATCTCAGATGCGTTAGAGGTTTTGGATCTGATACTGCATAGTGATGAGACGTCATTTCTCATACTGCAAGACGTTTTGTCGTTCGGCAAGAACGCCATACAGAAGAAGCTTATATGGAAAGAGTATCTTGCCCAAGTAGTATCGGGACGTCTACTGTCGATTGCAGCAGAGGCTGAGGATGTTCTGAAGAAAAACAATGACACATCGAGAGTATCCAGCTGGCTTGCAGAAGGCAAGGAGTATGCAGAATGGCTAGGTCGGAACATGGCTGTTTTGCTGGAGCGCGGGTCTGAAAGCGATGACCATCTCACTGCTACTGCAGAACTCTGCTCAAAGGCTCTGGGATTAGGCTACACAGGTAAGCTGGTTTACCTGGTTATTGGATGGCGCTGACGAGTCAGATCAAATTGTAAGCTCGCTACTTCTGACGATAATTAACGATGGTAGCGTTAAGCACCTCGTGCCTCTACTGTCCCACATGAAGACATTTGAGCAGCGAAAGTATCTGAATGCAATCATCACATCTGTGGCCAAGCAGTATTTCTCAAATGAGGTCGTCAGTAAAAACTCGCCGATTGCATCCTCCCCTGTTATAGATGCTGCTGCTGGTTTGTTTGATGACCTAATTAAAGATAACAATGTCCTCAAAGAACATCTTATCTCAACACTTACAAGATCAACAATACCCGTACTAGATGACTCACTGTCAGCTCGGCGAAGTGTCGTAGCTGCTTTGGCGAAAGACCACGGTAAGCAATGCCGGTATTCACACACATGAACAGTACTGACAGCCATAGACAAATTACACACCCTTTTGGAAAGCTTAATCAAACTCTTTGGAGATTCAGTCTATATCAGACATACCCCAGTATTGCAACAAGAAGGCAAGTAACGATTTAGTTCTACCAAGAAACTCTCTAACAAAACTCAGCTCTTGCTCAAACTTTGGCGGTATGTGGTGGCTACGTCAAGCGTTCAGAACCTATGTTCCTCACCATGATGGCAAAATCGTCCCATCATGTCAACGGAATGTCGAACCGAATCGGCGCTGCGTCTGCGCGAGCCCGTTTCTTGGGGATCTCTGTTGGTATTGCCATCTCCAAGATGGTAGACAAACCGGAGTTGCAACTGAAGATTGAGCTGGAGGGGGCAGAAGCTGAAGAAGCAAGCTGGTACGAGCGGCTCACCAACATTGACGACAAAGCTGGGAATGCTACAGACCTCAAGACTCAGCAGAACAACACAGTCTCAGTGGAGAAGACGCAGCCGAAACCGAAATCACTTCCCAAGACCTCAAAATCTCCAGCGATAACCGAAATACAAGGACCGCGAGTCATTGAAGTCATGTCTGATTCAGGAGACGAGGATACAGATCTGATGATGTACGATAAACCAGATTCTGACCCGGAGGACGACACAGATGACCCTACAGCCATCAACCGCAATAAACCCACAGCGCCCGTTTATATCCGGGATCTCATCACCGGCCTTCGCGACCAAGAAAACTATGACCGACACGAACTTGCTTTAGCCACGGCTGCATCTCTGATTCGTCGCAAAGCAAACTTTGGAACCGAAGTGACTGATCATCTTGAGGAACTCGCGACAATACTTACAAGTCTGCAAGACAACTCGGAGCTAGACGAGTTTGCGCAACAACGACAGCAAGCTTTGATTGCTGTATTGCTTGCAAAACCGGCGCAGATGGCGCAGTGGTTTGCGCGATCTTTCTTCTCTGGCGACTACAGTCTGCAACAACGCATATCTATGCTCACAACCCTCGGCATTGGAGCGCGCGAGCTGGCAGGAATGAAAGATACTTCGACCGATGACATGATACCCGCAAAACCAGACTTTCCTAGCAAGCAGCTTCCGCCACACCTCCACGGTATCTACACAGAAGACAAAAATGGGCCATCAGTGGCGAAGATATCAAGTCATATGGCACGTGAAATGCTCTCCCCAATTGCATCACAGGCAGCCGACCAACTCAGCGGGCCCAACATTCTCAAAGTGCGAACCTTCTCTTCGCGCATGGAAGTAGAAAAGAAGCGACATAAGCCAATTCCGAATGCTCTCGCCCAAATCGTAGCGGATAATTTCTTCTTTCCTCTTACCGGACGCTGGTGGCTCCAGGTTCGCGCCAACAATGACTCCATCTACACTTCCACCCACCTTTTACCGCCATTCCTACAAACGCTTTCTATACTCCTCAATGCATCAGGTCCGAATACTCTTGCACTACCCCAGATGACACGCGAGTACTGGGATCTCTTACTCTCGGTCCGCGGTTTGGCCAGTAAGGACAAGAACATACTCAATGCCGTTTTATTCGGCTTCCTGATGTTGTTGGAAACGAACGAGAATAAGGAGAGACTTGCTACCGAGCAAGGCAAAGAGCTTATGGAGACGCAGGCTTGGGTCAAGATGGTTTTCGACGGCTTGGGCGCTGGGAGTGAGGAGGATGAGAAGGTGAGAGTGCTTGCGGCAGGTGTGGTGGTCAGGTGTCAAGAGGTAGTTGAGAAGTATCAGAGGAGAATGGCAGGTATTTTCATAGATTACTAGTCATATTTTATCTCATTGGTTTGCTGAAGGAGGGTACT